GGTAATCACTACCTCTAACTAAACCTGTACCCAACATTTGCTTTCACTGGTCATTCTGAGTGCTCCATTTATCAATTAGTATATAATATGGTAGGCTTAGTAGGTCTGCCTTCCACAATCCCGCCTCTCACCCGCCATTTGCCACTTGATAATTACTGCCACTGGAACTCCCTTCCCAGAGGATGTCATCATCCCCGGAAACTGATAACCACTTCTGCAGTCTTTATCTGCACTCATCATTGTCTCTGGCAATCCCCTAGCTCTGGTGTTCTGGAAGAAAAACAGCCAGGGGCTCAAGAGGCCTAAGATTCACCTGCCCATCCTGGCCTCTAAACCTATGAATGCCCATCCCATACTGCCACAGTTCTCTCCTTTCCCTCCCACAACCAGGGCATTACACAGGGCCCTGTGTGCAAAAGAACCCCATGCTTGGTTTAATGCTCTGCTAGGACTATCTTGACATTCCTGATTTTTTTTTTTTTTTTTTTTTTTTAGACGGAGTCTCGCTCTGTCACCCAGGCTGGAGTGCAGTGGCCATGTCTCGGCTCACTGCAAACTCCACCTTCCGGATTCATGCCATTCTCCTGCCTCAGCCTCCCAAGTAGCTGGGACTACAGGCGCCCGCCACCGCACCCGGCTAATTTTTGTATTTTTAGTAGAGACGGGGTTTCACCAGGTTAGCTAGGATGGTCTTGATCTCCTGACCTCGTGATCTGCCCGCCTCAGCGTCCCAAAGTGCTGGGATTACAGGCATGAGCCACCGCGCTCGGCCGACATTCCTGATGATTTTGTCTTTGAACTCACGTTGTGTAGTGAAATCAGATGTGGCAGTGAAGCCGCAGGTGAGCAGAGGAGATAGATGCAATAAGTATGTTCACTATTTCTTGCCACTCCATTCATATATATCATTCTCCATGACCCACGTGCACAGGATTCTGGTGAGCCCACAGTGCCTCAGAATTCAACGAGACAAAGCAAATAAGTATTTATACAAGGTAAGCCTGTTTAGTCTACGACTGAGTAAGTAGGGGTCCTGATAGTTCTGAGAAGTCATGCTTTCCACTGGAACCAGAACTTCAAACAGAAAGAAGGCAATGGCATCCTAAGACATTAAAGTCCAAGGTACCGTATCGTATCTTTTCTTTCTTGTGTCACTTCCCTGTGTTAGCTGACTGCTTGTGTTGAGGACATTTCCTTTGCCTTTTAGTACTTTCTTACTCCTCAGTAAGTCAAAGGTGGAGTGTGAGTACAATGTGTGTGCGTCAAGAAGTGAAATAAGGGCTGGGCACGGTGGCTCACACCTGAAATCCCAGCACTTTGGGAGGCTTGAGGCAGGTGGATCACCTGAGGTCAGGAGTTTGAGACCAGTTTTCCCAACATGGTGAAACCCCATCCCTCCTAAAAATACAAAAATTAGCCAGGCGTGGTGGCGGGCACCTGTGATCCCGGCTACTTGGGAGGCTGAGGCAGGAGAATCATTTAAACCTGGGAGGTGGAAGTTGCAGTAAGCCAAGATCACACCATTGCACTCTAGCCTGGGTGACGGAGTGAAACTCCATCTCAAAAAAAAAAAGGTGAAATAACAGTTGAGGTAGTTTTGTGTAGTTTTTCTACTGTTCTGGTAATAACCAACTATATATGTATGTAAGAGCTAAAAAATAGAAATTGTGTCATTTTGGTGAGTCCACAAAGGAGTTAATTTTTTATTTTTTTTAAATTTTTAGATAGAGCTCTAGCTCTGTTGCCCAGGCTGGAGTACATTGGTGCAAACACAGCTCACTATAGCCTTGGCCTCCTGGGCTCAAGCAAATCCTCCTGCCTCGGGAGTTAAATGATCTTATATTTGTATTTAAAACTGGTTTTGCACAGTATAAAAATGAATTATAACATTCATGCTAATCATTTAAATTTTTCTTTTTTCTTACATAGAACAACATTAAATCACATATTTAAAACACTGTAACAAGTCGAGAGAGAGAGCAGAAGAAAGGAAAAAAAGTTTTATACTTCACTAGCTTAGCAGCATTTTTATTTTTCTGCCTTTTGAACAAAGGGCCCCAGAAATTATGTAGCCAGTCTTGCTAGAACCCCACCCACCAGAAGCCCTGAAGAAGATGGGTCAGGGACAGACTCCCGACCTGCTCCCACTCCCCTCCCTGCCAGAGCTGGGGCAGGAGAAGTGAGAATATCTCTGCCCTTGGGGATAAGTGTCCAAGGCTGCCTCAAAGCCCAGCTGCCCACTCTTGGGAGCAGCACTTCCTGTAGTAAACACACAGGCTTCATTACACAGGGAGGTAGGAAGTGGGGTAGGAAGGAAGACCTTGTTCCTTCTGGGGCACATTTTCCCATAGAAACAATGTCGTAGGTCACAGTTCTATAGTCTCAAAGCTAAATGGCCTTCTAAGAGTTTGCCTGAGAACAGAACCAGTATTTCTAACATTAATTCTCTGGGGAAAAAAATGCATTTTCAGTTTCAAACAACCAAGTTAGAAATCAACTTTTGGGAACATAATTCAGTCACAAGCAGGGACTATCTGCACCTTCCTAGCTCAGAAGTGCTGAGACCACAGAGAAGGATGGTATCTGTTAGACCCAGGTAAACAACTAAATGTTAACGACACTGTTAATAAATCATAACTTCACTTTATGCTCTAGCTGATATGAAAGGTCCAGTCCTTCAGACTTGCTGCTTGAAGAACTTGATTGCAGGTTTACCAGGGTTGATTGGCCTCGGCAACCAACACATACCAACCAAGTTCAAGAGATTGCACCCTAAACCAGCTGCCAATTCATTAAGCACACAAGAATAGCTGTGCTGAGTTGGACTCATGATTCATCCCGGCTGGTATTCTCACACAATGATTGTGAACTTCTGTGTTTTAGTCATTGTAAACTCTAGTGTTGAGCATAGTGTCTGAATATAGTGGTTTCTCAAATAAATGTTTGTTAAAAATGAAAGGTGAATAGGGGTTTCCTTCAAATTTCCCCTTATTTAATTCTACTTTTAAAGCAACTTTCTTCTTAGGAAATCTATTTGGTCATTTTAGTTACCTCTTTCTCTGACCTGGTATATCTATGAAATACTAGACTCTTTTTTACGGTTTCCAGGGAGAATTAAATGCATGATTCCACGTATAACTTCATTACCATTTTGTCAAATGTAAGACAAAATAATGCTTTCAGTTCTGTTTTCCACGTTCTTAGCAAAGAGGCCTAGCATATTGTTATATGACTTTAGGAAACAGTCAACAATAACTCATGGGTCTCTTTCTTAGAATAAAACACAGCTCCAAACTCATCTTTTAAGTGACTTTAGACTAACAATACTAAATGCATTATTCCAATTCAGTACAGAATGAAACTCATTTGCCATATTTTTGTCCACTCACATAAGCTGTGTGAAGCTTATCTTTTCAATTTAGATCCATCTGCTTGGTGTTTACTCCCCTGGAGAGCTTAAGGCCATTTCAGCCGTGTGATGTTTCCTACATGGGTCTGCTTCCACACAGTCTATGACAGTTTTAAGTAAGACAAGTCCTCCAACAGTAACCCTTGGGGGCTCCACTCTGAAACCAGAAGAATCTCTCTGGTGCCTTGGCGCCAGTGGTAGTCAGCAGACCTAGGTGTTGGCCCCAGTTCTGCCACTTAGTTGTTTGATTCCAGGCAAGTCATTTAATCTCAACTTTAAAATGGTATAAATAGCACCTGCTCCCCTCCCTCGCAGGGCAGGGTCTGTCCAAGGAGTACATGAGATAATGTGTGTGGAAGCACTCTGAAAAGGCTAACCTACTCTAAATAAGGGTTGTTGTTAGTATCTTCAGCCAGAAGCTTGCCTGTTTAAACTATCATTCACCTAAGTTAAGCCAGATCTTTTTTTTGTTTGTTTGTTTGTTTGAGATGGAGTTTCACTCTTGTCGCCCAGGCTGGAGGACAGTGGTGCGATCTCAGCTCACTGCAACCTCTGCCTCTCAAGTTCAGGCAATTCTCCTGCCTCAGCCTCCTGAGTAGCTGGGATTACAGGCACCCGCCACCACACCTGGCTAAGTTTTGTACTTTTTTAGTAGCGATGGGGTTTCGCCATGTTGGCCAGGCTGGTCTTGAACTGCTGACCTCAGGTGATCTGCCCTCCTTGGCCTCCCAAAGTGCTGGGATTACAGGCAATGAGCCACCACACCTGGCCCAGATCTCTCTTCATTCATTCAATTCATTCAACAGATAGCCTTTGAGTGCCTATTTTATCCAAGACAGAACTTTCTCCCACCTTTTGGGGTAACTTAGTGGGGGGGTTTTGTTTGTTCTTCCTTGTTTCCTCAGTGTTTAATGTGTAAATTGGTAGAGATGTTTTTTAAAGTGTAGCGTTCACATGCTTATTTACCCTTCAAAGAAATGTGGTCCAACAGTGAAACATGAGGCATGCTCAAGCGTGTTGCTGCAAAGGAGGAAGGTCAAACACAGTCTCTGCCTGCATCTCTCCACAGAAAGCAGGAGTGCCTTCCACACTCAGCCTCGGAGGGACAGAAGGGAAAATCCAGAGTGGGGTTGCTATGGTTTGGACGTGTTCCCCAAAAAGGGTATGTTGGCAACTTAATCCCCAATGCAGCAGCGTTGGGAGGTGGGGCCTAATGGGAGGTGTTTAGGTCATAGGGGCTGCACTCCCATGAATTGATTAATACTGATTATAATAAAGCTGGAAGCTTCGAGTTCAGTGTCTTGCCCTCGTGAGATCACTCTTGCCCTTCCGCCTTCTACCATGGGATGATGCGGCAAGAAGGCCCTTATTAGATGCCGTCCCCTCTTAGACTTCCCAGCCTCCACAACTGTGAGCCAAATAATTTTTTTTCCTTTATAAATTATTCAGTCTTAGGTATTTTGTTATAAAAAGCACAAAACAGACTAAGACAGGGGTATAGCTGAGGGGGCCAGTGAGAAAGGGAAGCAGGGGCAACTATATAACCCCTCAGATCCCAACAACCGCTATAATAATAAATGGATTTACTTACATGAAAGCAGCTTATAGCAATCTCCTTTAATTTAGCCCGTGGTCCATTCTAACAAAGAAAAATTCCTTCCACTTTTAGAAGCTTCTGATGAAGGCTTATGGATACTGTTTCCAAAGGAAAAATAAAAGGCAAAGCATTCCTAGGGAAAAGGAGGAAAGACGTGTTTGTAAAATGATTTAGCCGTACAGCAGGTTATGAAGGAGTGAAAAGGAAAAGATTAAAATGGTTCTTTCCCTCCTCCCTCTGTGACTCAGATTAATCCTAAAAATAATCTTCATCCCAGTATGAGAAGCTTAGGAAAGACTCAGATCTCCACAGACCAATTTTCATGATGGTCGTGAGGAGGAAAGGAACAAAAGGAAGAGGGAGATAGGGAACAGGAACTACTAAAGGCAAGCTAGAAGAGACTTCACCTACTCAGAAGAGGTGAGGTGAAATTAAAGGCCAGTGTAAATGTGAGGCAATAAGCATTCTGCATTCTTGCCCTATTCTGAAGGCCTGGAATTATATTGCATCAGCAAAGATGAAGCTTCAATTTACTGTTTCACTCTTACCTCTCACTAATTCTTCTGGCCATCCATATTTTATTCATTCGAATGAATTTTCATCTTTTCAACATCATGCTCCTTTCTTTGTGTCAGCAACAGGAGGCTCAGGCCGGGCGCGGTGGCTCAAGCCTGTAATCCCAGCACTTTGAGAGGCCAAGGTGGGCGGATCACGAGGTCAGGAGATCGTAGACCATCCAGGCTAACACGGTGAAAGCCCGTCTCTACTAAAAAAATACAAAAAGCTAGCCGGGCGTGGTGGCGGGGGCCTGTAGTCCCAGCTACTCGGGAGGCTGAGGCAGGAGAATGGCGTAAACCCGGGAGGTGGAGCTTGCAGTGAGCTGAGATCCGGCCACTGCACTCCAGCCTGAGCCTCAGAGCGAGACTCCGTCTCAAAAAACAACAACAAAAAAAAACAGGAGGCTCTTTTTCAGACCTTTTTTCAGTCATATTTAATTTGTGTCTGTTCATTTGTTTTAAAAGCATTTTATTTTTAAAGTATTTCAAACTAACAGAAAAGTTGCATACATAGCATAATTAATTTTTACTTGAACAATTTGAGAGTCAATTGCTGACATGATACCTGTGGTGGATGTTGAGATGTTTTGACCAGATCCCCCTTCAAGGAAGGTGCTGCCCTGCTGTGGGGACTGTGCTTAGCACACAGCTGTCAGCTACCATTTCCTTCTGGGCTTGCCTCATGTGCAGAGAGCTACCTTGCCCAAGAAGATGTGCCTTTTCTGGGTTGCCCAAATCCGATGAGTGATCAAGGCAGAAGTAGAAAGGTGATATGGTTTGGATCTGTGACTCCACCCAAATCTCATCTCAAATTGTAATCCCCATAATCCCCATGTGTGGAGGGAGGGACCTGGTGGGAGGTGATTGGATGATGGAGGCGGGTTTCCCCCATGCTGTTCTCGTGTTGGTGAATCAGTTCTCACGAGATCAGATGGTGTTTTTTTGTTTGTTTGTTTTTTGTTTGAGACGGAGTTTCACTCTTGTTGCCCAGGCTGGCGTGCAATAGTGCGATCTCGGCTTGCTGCAACCTCTGCCTCCCAGGTTCAAGCAATTCTCTTGCCTCAGCCTCCTGAGGAGCTGGGATTACAGGCACGCACCACCATGCCCGGCTAATTTTTGTATGTTTAGTAGAGACGGGGTTTCACCGTGTTGGTCAGGCTGGTCTCGAACTCCTGACCTCGTGATCTGTCCACCTCAGCCTCCCAAAGTGCTGAGATTACAGACGTGAGCCACTGTGCTCGGCGATCTGATGGTTTTATAAGTGTTAGACGGTTCCTCTTTCACACACACTCTCTCTCTATCTCACCTGCTGCCATCTAAGATGTGCTTGCTACCTCTTCCACCATGATTGTAAGTTTCCTAAGGCCTCCCTAGCCATGTGGAACTGTTGAGTCAGTTAAACCTCTTTTCTTTATAAATTACCCAGTCTCAGGTATTTCTTTATAGCAGTGTGAAAAAAGACTAATACAAAAGGCCTAGCTATTTTGTCCTGTCAGAACAGCTCTGATGATCCATTTCCTCTGGAGAGATTCCTGTGTGGGGTTAACTGAGGCTATCAACCTACATCTCAGATCGACTTCACCCTCTGTGCAATCTTATTTCCTTTCCCTCCCATTCACAGATGTTGATCCCAAGGGCCCTCCCTAATAAATATCCTGTACGCTGAAGTCCGTCTCAGGATCTACTTCCTGGAAAACCCAAACTACCACAGTCAGAGCCAGGAGAGGTCTGAGAAAGCACAGATAAGATGGAGTTTTGGAACTGGGTCACTCACCCACGTAGCTGGTAGGGAGGACCCTGTTACTGGTAATAGATGGAACCCAGATAACCCCTGGCACAAGGTGGCGGCCAGATATTAAAACTTTCACCAGTGGTGAACTGAGATGGTATACCAATGAAAGAGAATGTATTAGCTCAAGCAATATATGGCAGGAATAGTAGTTCTAAGGACAATGGGATTGTATGGTTATTGCTTACCTCTGTGGAAGCTCTAGGAAAAGAAACCAAAAGGCTAAGAGAGTAACCACCAGGCAACTAAGAGCCAAATGAAAGCTTTCGCCAGAGGGTCTCTGGTAGCATGTAAAGAGACTTTTGTGACCTAAGGTGGGAAGGCAGAGATGCTGAGGACAAGACCCAGACTAAATCATCAGTGTAGCCAAACTCCAAAGAAGATTAAACTACCAACCAAATTAGGTCAGGGCTCTGGTTGGGAAAGAGAGAGGCTCTGACACATGGGATAGAGACATCTTGGTTGATGCCCCCCAAAATCTTGAATTCCCAGATTCTTCTTGACCCTCTGAGTCTACAGAAGTGAGTCGTTCTTCCCTATTAAGGGCTACATATGGCCAGGAATGGTGGATAACACCTGTAATCCCACCACTTTGGGAGGCTGAGGTGGGCAGATCATTTGAGGCCAGGAGTTCGAGACCAGCCTGGCCAACATGGTGAAACCTGTCTCTACTAAAAATACAAAAATTATCCAGGTGTGGTGGCTCATGCCTGTAATCCTAGCTACTCAGGAGGCTGAGGCAGGAGAATCGCTTGAACCCAGCAGGCGGAGGTTGCTGTGAGCTGAGGTTGCACCACTGCACCCCAGACTGGGGGACAGAGTGGGACTCTGTCTCAAAAAAAAAAAAAAAAAAAGAAAGAAAGGAAAAGGCCAAAGGTATACCACTCAATTCCCAATTTCAAAACTTACTACAAAACTATGGTAATAAAAACTGTGGCACTAGCAAAAGAATAGACATACAGACCAATAGAATAGAATTGAGAGTCTAGAAATAAACATGTTTATCTATGGCTGTCTTAATTTGCTTGTGTGCTATAACAAAATACTTGAGACTGGGTAATTTATAAAGAACAGAAACTTATTTTCTTGCAGTTCTGGAGCTTGAGAAGTCCAAGATCAAGGTACTGGTAGGTTTGGCTGTTTGGTGAGGGCTGCATCCTCTGGAGAGGAGGAATGCCGTGTCTTCACGTGGCAGAAAGTGGAAGGCAAGAGACTGAACACTGCATGAAACATTTTTCATAAGAGCCCTAATCTCATTCACAAGAAAGGATCCCTCATAGCCTCAATCACCTCTTACAGTCCCCACCTCTTCATGCTATCACATTGGCAACACCTGAATTTTGGAGAAGACACATTCAAGTCATAGCAATGGACAATGATTTTCAACAAGAGTGCCAAAACAGGAAGGGTGGTAGCGGGGTGAGGGATAAAATATCACCCACTGGAGACAAAGTATGCTACTAGTGTGATAGGTACACTAAAAGCCCAAACTTCATCACTGTACAATTCATCCATATAACCAAAAACCAACTGTACCCTAAAGCTATTGAATTTTTTTTTTTTTTTTTTTGAGATGGAGTCTCCCTCTGTCACCCAAGCTGGAATGGAGTGGCGCGATCTCAGCTCACTGCAACCTCCGCCTTCTGGGTTCCAGAGATTCTCCTTCCTCAGCCGCCCGAGTAGCTGGGACTACAGGTGCATGCCACCATGCCCAGCTAATTTTTGTGTTTTTAGTAGAGACGGGATGTCACCATATTGGCCAAGCTGGTCTCGAACTCCTGAACTTGTGATCTGCCTGCCTCAGCCTCCCAAAGTGCTGGGATTACAGGCGTGAACCACTGTGCCCGGCTATTGAAAAGTTTTCTAAAATGCCAAAACAATTATATGAGAAAAGAATAGCCACATGCAAAAAAATGAAATTGGACCTTATCTCATATAGTACACTAAAATTTAACACAAAACGGGTCAATGCAAGAGCTAATACTACAAAACTCCTAGAAGAAAACTTAAATTAGGCAATGGGTTCTTAGATATGACACCAACAGCACAGGCAACCAAAGAAAAATAGGTAATTTGGACTTCATATAAATGAAAAACTTTTGTGCTTCAGAAGACCCCATCAAGAAAGTGAAAACGAGGCCAGGTACAGTGGCTCACCCCTGTTGTTCCAATACTTTGGGAGGCCGAGGCAGGAGCATAGCTTGAGCCCAAGAGCTTGAGACAACCCTGGGCAACACAGGGAGACACAATCTCTAAAAAAAAAAAACAAAAAACAAAACAAAACAAAAAAAAACACCCTTGTGGCCGCAGCTACAGGGGAGGTGAAAGCAGGAGGATCACTTGAGCTGGGAAGTCTGGGCTGCAGTAAGCCATGATTGCAGCATTGCACTCCAGCCTGGCAACAGGGTGAGACCCCATATCAATAAATAAATATAGGTCAAGCATGGTGGCTCACACCTGTAATCCCAGCACTTTGGGAGACCAAGACAGGCAGATTATCTGAGCTCAGGACTTCAAGACCAGCCTGGGCAACATGGTGAAACGCTGCCTCTACAGAAAATACAAAAATTAGCCAGGCATGGTGGCATGCACCTGTAGTCCCAGCTATTCACGAGGCTGAGATGGGAGGTTGGCTTAAGCCCAGGAGGTGGAGGTTGAAGTGAGCGTGTTTGCACCGCTGCACTCCAGCCTGGACAACAGAACCAGACCCTGTCTCAAAAAAATAAAATAAATACATAAATAAATAGAATAAAAAGAGGGAAACTAAAATAAAAAGGAAACCTTAAA